ACTAGATCCCTCAGCCATGCTCGATAACTGTCTCTCGTCGAACATATGACGCGGCGGAGGGGCAGGAACGACGAAAACATTGGAAGAGTGCTGTCTAACAACTCTCTCCCCTAAATACACAACCGCTCCGTAGGTCCCTAGAAAACAGCGACGCTCAGCAGTATACCGTGCGGCTAATCTAGGGACTGTCCAACCGCCCCACGGTCGGTGAACTATCTCAGGTCCCTATAAAAAGCACCAATCAGGCAAGAATATGTCTAAAACACCACAAAAGAGCAAGATAAGCACTAAAATCATACCGAGATGATCCGACTCCGGACACGTGCAGTAGACATGTCCACATGGTGGCCGCCCCAAGAGGCGCTCACTAGATATCCCCTCGGCGATAGTCTTGCCGGCGCAACGGAAGGAAAGTACTCGTAGAACCAGATCTACAAAAAGTTAAACGCGTGAATAAATGCTAACTAACGTGTAGGGATAAACTTTATAGGGAATAATGTTTACCTCTACGACCTTCCAGAATGCAGACAAAGCGACGTTCGTCCTAAAAGACCGGTGGCGACACGAGTCCCTCAACGCGCGAACAAAATCAGTTTAGGCCAAGCTGGCCCAGTCATAAGTCCCGATCCGCAGGAGATCACGGACAACAGGGAGGTAGTAAAGCAATGCCCTATTACCCCTGTCAGGAGAGAATGTCCCTGACAATAACATCAGCACGAAGATACGCACTCGTTGCTCTCGGGTGGTCGCATCATCATCAAGAGCCGCTGCCAGCGTCGAGCGGCGAATCCCTCTAGCACTGAACTGAGTCGTCTCGACCTCAGCTCGGGCCCGAACAGCAATCGGCCCCAACAACTCCTCGACCTCTGGAGAAAAGACGTCGATCCCACCGTCGAACGACAGCGGTACAAAAGTGAACTTCAGTCCTGTGATGAGACTGAAGTCTGTAGGGGTGACCATCATCTCACCCCAGGGAAAATGAAAGGTGTTGGTGGTATCCCAAAAGAACTCCACCAAAGCGCGTACTACGTGGTGACCGCCGCTGGAGGCGACCATAGCCTCGGAGGTCTCGAACAGAGCAACTAGTCCGCAGAACTCCCATAGGAGTCTCGTCTCACGATCTCTGGCGATGTGCATCCTGTATAAATCACCTAGACCATCACAGCCAAAGCCGTGATGCCGTGTCCTCCCGGGCTCGGTTCCCCGTCTCACCCTCTCAGAAATGTGGTGGACAGGGGCAAAGAACAAAGTCTGTTCATCCCACTCCGGGAACCGACCAAGCGAAGTGGACGGTGTGGTGTCGTCCTTCACGGGCTCATGCTCCCGTCTAGTGTTTCGGGACCGTGAACCTGAGCCTCGTTGTCTAGCCATGCTACATTGTGCAGAATCATCATAAATTAAGGTTCTATAGTATCTAAGGTTCGCCTAGCCACATGATACTATGTTCGCAAAAAAACAGAGTACGTAGTACTAAAACAGAGCACAAATTCAAATTGAGCATGACAGCGTTTTTTCAAGCAATCAAACTATTTCTTGCAACACTATAGTGATTATTGTGACAAATTGAACAAGAATTGCTAGCAAAAACGTCAAGAACAAACCACATTGTTCTTCACGACCTTAAGAGGTCCAACAATGGCAGATTGCTCATTTCTTCACCAAATTGAGTCAAACAAGTCTCAATTTACTCCCAAGGCAATATATAAACATAAAAAAGCAATTTCACGGCATAAAACTTGATAAACAAAGCAAATTGAGCATTGTAAATTTTGAATTTTCATGAAATTCGTGAATATACATGCCAAGAATTCATAAAAACCGGTGTGAGTTTGAGGGAAACTTACATAGATTGGGAATATAGATGAAAAGAACTTTGATTTGCAACAAATTTGAGCGAATTAGGTTGAGAAACGAGTGGGCAACGATCAATTGAAGCTTTCGGTTTCTTCGAGCAGCGTTCGCGACAAACAGAGCCAAGAAATGAACGAAAATGGGAATTTAAAGAGATTCCCGTGCTGGCGCCAGTCACTAGGCATTGGCGTCACTTTCTGGGCTTGGCGTCTGACGCCAACGCTAGCGCTTGGCGCTAATGCCATTAGGATGGCGCTGATAGATTTTCAACGACGCCAAAGCAGCCAGCCACCTGATGAGGTTGTACTAGCCTTTACAATATATTTTTGGGTTCTTTGGTACGCCAGTTAGCCCCTCTAAGCAATTTGACATGATTTAGTAATCGGCTTGATTACGTAAAGTGATCGACCTGATGAAAAGATCGTCTCACTTAGCTTAAAGCGCCTAAGCATTGCCTCATTAGTAAAAGGCACCGACATATAGGTTCAAGAACAAAGGGCGCCGACTTACAGGTTTAAAGCAAAAGAGCGCCGACGTACAGGCATAGCGGAGGCAAAGTTCAGGCAAACTTTTTAAAGATCGACAGGCGTGGATCTTCGGTAATTTCCTTTGGAAAATTATCGTATCAATGCAACTGAAGATTATTCCGAGAGAAGTAATTTTCGATAGTGTTCCCTTGGACGTGGAATATTATCAGTGCGGGTGAGAATTATTTCGAGAGAAATAATTTTCGATGATGTTCCCTTGGACGTGGAATATTATCATAGCGGGGAGGATAGTTTCGGGCGAAGCAATCTTCTAATTTGGAAGCGGTTACGGGCGTAGCGGTTTTCAAGCGGGATGACATTCTTTAGCTTGCAGGAAGTCATCAGAACAGCAGCAACAACAATCGGTTACTTTCAGAGACGTGTGCTCGACGGTGCAAGATACGCGTTTCTTAACTCTTTTATCTATTTAACTAATGCAAGTTTTGCAGGTATCGGCGTTATAAGAGTGATTTAGGATCGCAAAACGTTCTGAATCATTCTCCGTCCCTATCGTTACTTTGACATCGTTTTCGAAACTCGCGTTTCTCCAAACTCAGTCAAAGTGGGGGCTTCTGTAAACACCCATTTGTGTCTCCCCAAAACCAAACCCGGTGATGAGTGCCTTTCACGTCGAATCATAATCGAATGAAACAAAAGTGTGGAAAGGTCTAGTGTTACGGAAAGTTTTATTTCTTTTCTCTTCTCCCTGATTTTGAAAACTTTATTTTAAGAAAACAACCAATCCAGTTTGGTTGGTCTATGATATGGGTCCAATAGTGGTTTAGTTGGATGGGGTTTGCAAAGACCTTTCCAACGATATATTATAAGCCCAATTCCGATGAATATTGAGGAAATTATGGCCAATTTACTAAACTGGGTCCGGTTTGAGCTTTATGTACGACCCAATGATCTAGGGGAGGGCCTAATATAATTTATCATTAATTCAATTAGGAATGGTTTTAGTCTTCTAGAACATTCTAGAAGTTTCTTTTCATTCCTAATTTCAATTAGGACTTTTCAGAGTTTTAATTAAGATCAAATAGCATTTTCGATGGAATTATATTATTTTATCTTCTAGTACGGGAAATTTATCAGATTTTCAAAAACGCGTTGAAAAACAGTTTGGCTTCCAACCCCAGGCCTTGGCGCCTGGAACCAGGATTGGCGCCAGGCGCTAGCCACTGGTGCTGGCGCCAACTAGCCAGGGCTGGCGCCAATATTGTTTTGCGATCTTCAGACTCTGTTTTGTTAAATTATCTTTTTTGGATGATTTTCTCTATAAATATCGTATCAAAAACTCCGTTTTCATTCACCAATTATCATCAATTCTCATCAAATCTCTTCATTCACCAATTGCCAACATTCATGATCTTTCATTCATCAATTCTCAATAACGTTAATTCTTTAGTATTCTATCTTTTTTGCTTCTCAAATACAAAATTCCGCATTCACAAGATCAAGAAACACTTAGCCATATTCGAAGTTGCCTTCGCCCTAGACGTGAATGGTTTTAATTTCTGAGGGTTTGGTCCCAAATTTCTATTTCAATTATTTAATTTAATTGCTTTGATTATTATTTTTTCTTGAAGTTACTAACGTGTGTATTTTGTTATTAGAAAGAGGTACGAAGCATCAAAGTAAGTACTTTAATTGATATTATGATGTAGAAATCATGTTTATATTGTTATTATGATATTCCTAGTATCATGTTTAGGGAAAAGGTTAAAATATCAAATATGCTTATTATGATTCTTGCGATGCTTCCCATATTATTCCTAATATTTATTCATGTTAGTATCATGTTAGGGTTAAAGATTTGATTTTTATTGCTTAGTGACATGCTAGGGTTTGTTATTAATCTTGTTAGTATCATGCCTAGGATCTTGCTATTATTATGCTTTAATATTAACATGAACATGATTATGATTGATTATTATTATTATTATTCATGATGTTGATTATTTATTATGTTGCTTGATATGTATTATTTTATATTATTGCTTGATAACTTTTATTGCATGTTAAGGGAAATTGGCACTTGCAATCACGCTTAATAAGATAATTAATAATCTTGTTAGGGTTAATTGTGATTATAATTCAAGTGATCGCCAATAATAGTTTATGTGTGCATTAATATTCAACCAACATAGATTAAACAGGTTTAGGGTTAATCCTATTGATTGTATGTTAGTCAGAAAGCGCACATGAATACGAGCAGAATAAAGTAGAGGCCTATTATTAGGGCAGGTTCAATCTCTTTTAGGTTGGATTTGTACCTTCATCCCCGAACCCTTATTTGGTTCATGACCTTATGGAGTTGACGATCTCTTGGATCGTTAAGGAGTGTAACCTTCACCTCGTGATGGTTTACAAGTTCCTCAAAAAACTTGTTGGCGATTCTTTTGCTCTATCTTCTTCCCTTTTGGACGCCACCGTACTTTAGTGTATGATCACAGTGGGGTTCAAGCTAGTGGGATTTTAAAGGCTTGAAATTATTCCCTACACCTACAGTTTGGCATCCGCCTGGGAATACATCATATCAAGGGTCAGTAGCTCATTTTGAGCAATTTCAAATTGAGCTCGGTCTAAGGCGGACTCGGCTCAAGCTTTAGCGGTTGTTACCTCTTTGGACTTTTCCTGGAGAGGCTTCCTTAGCCCCTGAATGCGCAGCATAGCCTGGAGATGAGTAAAGAGCCGAATGGTCAAGACCATTCGGATATACGCTTAACAATAAGAAAATCAAGATAACTCTCTACCTCACAGAGATTCCCCAAGATGGCATCCAAGTTAAGGGTGCCGACTCCTCTCACGGACGCCTTATCCTCTAGATCAAGCGCCCTCAGCATCTCCTTGGCCATCTGGACGACGGTCGGCCGTTGCACAGGAGCTGCAAGATTAAAATTAGTTAAGGAAATTCTAAGAAACTATCTTTATGATGATATTTAATACAGAGGCGGCTTATACCATTCGGTTGAACCTCCTCCTCCTTCCCATGACGCCTCTTCTCTCCTGCTGAGCTGACAGCAGTACTGGGTTGCTTAAAGCCACCCTTCGATGCCTGATTGGCATCCGGTTTGCTGACCTCCATGTCAGCTTCGAGAGTAGAGCCGTCTCCTTTTTTGGGCTTGTGAGCAATGTGCTTCCGGTTCTTGCCGGATGCACTCACATCACCCGTCCCAGTCTTTTGGATTTTGGATTGGGATTGCTTAGAGGGAGAAGGTCTTGTGGAGCCACTCTGCATTAGCAAAAGGAAAAGGCGTCAGAAAAATAGGCAGGCAAAAATTGACCTTGCTAAAAAATATCAAGTTTTATAAACAACTACCTTGGGGGTCCCGACTGGTTTCAGCTCGTCACTCGCTCGATTAAGGACGTTCGAGCGATATTTCGCCATAGAGACGACAGCTGGCTTTATCGTTACCGAGATCTTTTCCATAGCTTTGTCTGCACCAAAAGCAGGATTTAGAATTTGTAAACAAGCATTGAAAAGCAATTTCAAAGTTGCATAAAATCAGACGGCCGACTACCTCTCGGCATCTCAGAACTTAGCCCACAAGCGGCCAAGAACACCCCATCCTCTAACCACTTGTAAAGGGGAATGTAGCTCTGAGGGACGACTATTTTCTCCCCCTGCTCATTTGTCCGAACGGACACTTTGAACAAACCCCTATAAAAAATTTCCTCCTGGGCCCGCCTAGGGAGAGGGGGCAAGGCACTCTTGCCACCCAGGAGGGGCGGATCCTTGTTCCACCTATTGTATTACCGTTTTAGTTGGCTATCAGAGGAGTGGACTATGTAGAACTTTGTTCTCCAGTCCTTCCACTTGTTTTCCTTGCCAACTTCCATCATGTACCCCTTGCAGGTGGACAAGGTGTACCAGCCTTCGCCGCCCTTGGCAGGCGCTCGGCTAAGATAGTGCATGTGGGTGAATGCCTCAAAGCTCGGTTCCACCTCCATCATTTCACATGCGGCAACATACTTGTTAATATTAATCCAGGAATTCGGGACAAGTTTCCAGATACCCAGTTGGTATCCGTCCAATATTCTCTCCACGGTCGGATGGAGAGGGAAGCGCGGACCAGCCTGGAAGACCGCCTCGTAACAGTCGAATGCTTGGTCCTTATAGCTGGCCAAGATCGGCCAGATTATTGTATCATCCTTGTTAGGCACAAACAAGGAAAAGTCATGACCCATTACGGTCTTGCGCTTGAAGTTGGCAAATCCGGATGTCATAGAAGTCCGCTTATTTTGCGGAACATGGTGATAGTAGGGAGCGCGTTCCAGGCGTCTAGAAGCACTCGGCTTGACCCAGCCTTCTCCCCTCTCCACTGACAAGGATTCCCTTGTAGTGCTTATCTTTGCTTTGGCCTCCTCTGAAGTAACGGAGGAATTTTCAGAGGATGAAGAGGCCGAATCGTCATCAGAGCTCTCCCCAGAGCTAGGGGACTGCCGGCTGGGGCCAGTAGGGTCCTCCCCTAGACTCTCCTCTGATGCCTGTTCTGAAGGCTCAGGCTTGTATTGACTGTTGGCTTCCCGCAGTATGGTATCGCTGGGGGTGCCGCTCGAAGAAGGGGAAGAATAATAAGTTGGAGTTTGGGGAAGGTCAGATGAAAGGTTTGGGGGGTTCTCAGAGATTTCTCTAGCAGGCACCCTAATTGAGCCATCAGAGTTGACAGTCTCACTGTCCGAATGGTAAAAGGAACCATCCGCCCTATATCTCCTTGTTGTCTGCTTTGTTCTGGCCATCGTGTCCTGTAGATGCACAAACATTGTCGGATTTGGAGATGTACTTAAAGAAAAGTTCTCGAACGAGCATTCGACACTCCTAGTTCTAGATTCAGCCGTCCCCGGTGACCGGCTGATCGCTAACCTAGGTCGTGCCGGGTGTGTTTGGGAAACCATTTGATAAAGAAAAAATGCAAAAAAAAATAAGTAAAAAAGAGAGCAGGCGGTTACCTTATAAGAAGGTACTAGGAGACATCTGGTTTGCTGAAACAGACGGACAGAAAGCCGAGCGTCGGATGCTTGATAAGTTTAAGTCTTTGAGAGTCTTTGAAAGTCAGAAGTCCAGAGATTCTCCAAGATTCGCAAAGGTGTGAATCCAAAGGGGGGGTCAAACCTTTCTATTTATAGAAGGGGTAAAACCCTAATTTTTCCCTCCAACAGTAAATTTGAAATCCGGCCAGCCAGATTCTAACACCAGTCACAGGAGACACGTGGCAAGCGTGTGTCCCTTGTGAAGGGAAAATGATTTGGGTATTTTTACCCAACCAGCTGGCCCAATCCGAGCCAACCACGTGTCACTAGGAGAGGCGCTAAGCTAGCCCTTCTAGATGGTGACACGTGGTAGGCAAGATCAGGCCCCCTGGGAATGGCGGCTTTCAAGGCCCAAATCCCAAGGGCCCCTGCAAAAGCGGCGCCCTTTCTTAGGGCACGAAACCCTAGAAAGGGAACACATTCCTAGAGCCCTATAAATAGGGAACATTCCCCTCATTTATGGGGATCAGAATTTTAGACAACTTTTATGACCTAACCTTGATTGAATACCAATCATTGTCTGAACTGTCACTCTCGAGATACAGTATACCTGAGCTTGGAATCCAAGCAGATAACTTTATTTCCGTACGTTTTACTTTGAGTACATTACTAACTTAATCTTTTGAGGCGGACCACCGACCATCCGGCGGTCCGTTTGCTTTGCAGGTACAGGCGCCCTTTGCTGGATCCAGTCTTAGTGTTGTAACGCTCCCAAGGGACAAAAACCCCCGAAACAGTTAGTTCACAATGCATGTAAGTTGCCTTGGGGACCAAGTGGGAAAGTGGTCCTCACCTAACCATGTGACACTTGTTACTTGTTCCTTGGTTTATTTAACTAAGGGTTGAATTCATCAATCTTTCCATTTGGGATATTTTTGTGAAAAGTCCCACATTAAAAGATGAGTGGAATTCACAAGGAAGCTTTCCTTATAAATAGCCAAGACATATCTTGGGATTGTTCACTTGAGTAAGAGTTGGAAAAGGCATCACTAGTAGTGAAAACCTTTGAACTCAATTACTCGGATTTCGTTCGGGCCTTGCTAACTTCAAGTCATTGGACCTAGTCAGTGTTCGAGTTATGGGTGGATCATCATTGGAGTCGTCGTATTATCGAGGCTTGCTTTCAAGTAAGAGCCCTAGTGGTCGGGCGAAGCACGAGTTAATGGTATATTTATTATCTTAATCTTGTCATTAAGTTATTTATGTTTATGGTTTATTTATTGCGAGTGCGGTCTTGTTTTTGGGTTTGTTTTTGCGGTGAGTCGGACTCACCAAACCCCAACAATAGTTCCACTCACCGATCTCCTCGAGTTGACATAGGCGGCCCTAATGCTTTGCATTGTTGATTGAAAATCTTTTTCTGGACTGAGGCATTAGTATTTCGCAGTTTGTAATGGGCACACATTTGCAGCTGACCCATTTTCCACTAAAGTAAGAGGGATGTTGTATCCCTTACACCTCACGGTTAAGTATAGTGTGTTGTTGTGGATAGTGTCTTTTGAAGGAAAATCATCATTAGTAAAATTGATTGATTTGTCAGATTTCTCGCTAGTAAGCAAGCTAATGAGATCTTGGGGGGTTGTGTCCGTACTTACAGACAAAGCCATTAGAGCATTTAAAAGAGAATTCCTATGTTCTATAGAAGTACTTAGGAGTTCCCAAATGCTAACATTCTCCTTGGATTGGCGACGTTCTTTTACCAATGGATCTTCCACCTCGAGTGGAGGTGGTATTGTATTTTGAACTTGATTGTGAGTGGTTGAAGATCCATTTGGTGGTGCTTAATAAACTCTCCTAGAACGAGTTAGATGATCTATCTCGTTTAGGAAAGCTGTAGGAATCATGAACCAACTTTCTTTTAGAGGCTTTGAGTGTGCCTCCAATTCAAGATGCTCCATTAGTTGTGCTTGATGACATTGTTCATCCAAGGAGAGACTTGATAAGTCTTGTGATTTCCCCAAGATATAATCCCAATCAAGCGCCCCACTTGTCTCATTTTGTAGACAATGTAGAGGTGGGACGACGACGTACTTAGAGACATATAACTCCTAAAAGTCTTCATCTGATAACCCACACACTTCATTAGTTGCCCCTACGAGTTTTAGGGTTAGAGGTTTCTCTATGGGTGTGATATAGTCCAAATGATTGAACGTATCACTTCCCATATGATCCTCATCGATGTGAAATGTCCCTAATGGGGATACATTGTTGTTGAGTTTAGGCGTGGAAATTCTCCAATCGTCTACTAGATCTTGAATGTTGTGCTTTAAGGAAAAGCAGCGTTCAGTATCATGCCCAACACCTCTATGGTAAGCACAATAGGCATTGCCATCCCATTGGGAGCTTCTTTTTTCTAGAGGAGTGGGTGGTGTTGGCCCTGTTGGTGCGAGCAAACCTTTTTTTATTTAGTTTTTCTAGAAACTCTTTATAGCTCACGAGAGATTGTGTAAACCTTCTTTCTTTTGTCCATATTTTCCGAGGGTCATTATATCGCATTGTACTATTATATTGCATGGAAGTCACAAATACATCAATAGAGGATTGTTTTTAGGTTGATGATGATGAGGTTTATTTGTTTTTTATTTAGCAAGATCATCTTTAATCCTAGTAGCCACATAATAGACCTTTTTAAAAGTGTCTAAACCAAGGTAGCGTAGATGTTTGTTGTAATTTTCATGATAATTGTCAATGAATTTTTGAACTAACTCGATTTCAGCTGGCCTTTGGGCAAGGTGGGCCTCCTTTTCTCACCATTTACCATAGAAAGCAAGGAAACCTTCATCGTCGCATTACTTAAAAATCTCGAGTTTACGTAAAGTTGATTTGAACTCTACGTTACTCTCATATTGGGTTATGAAAGCCGAAACTACATCTTCCCATGTTTTTTTGAATTTTGCATCTATCCCATAGTACCACTCTCTCACGGCTGGACCTAGAGCTAGAGGGAAAGACAAATCATAAAGCTTAGGGTCAACTCCCTTTGATGCCATGATGCCAGTAAAACACATTAAATGATTTTCCTGATTATTGGTCACCTTAAATATTGGCAAGTCCGTAGCTACGAACTTTTCTAGCAAAGAAAGTCATATAGGAAGAGTGAACTTTTCTGCTTCGATGTACTTGTTCTCCATTGTGGAATGAAGAACAAGCTTCTCCAACGACTTTTCTTTGTTGGATAGTTCCTCCATCTTTTGTTGCAAGGCCAAAGTTTTGGCATATTTCTTTTCATCTTTTTCAAGTTTATTAAATCCTTCTCTCCTCGGCCTCTTGAGCCTTTTCTTCTCTCAAATGAGCAATCTCTTCTTGGAGTTGCTCTATGGTTTTTGAGGGAAGGTGGTTTGAAAGGGGTGAATTGTTTGATGGTACGTAAACGTAAAATGCGAGCACCCGAGATTCTTCGTTCCCAAGCTTTAAAACCGGCCCTAAAAGAAGTACAAAAGGATAAGTAAATCGATACGCTTGTTTTGAAGAAAAAGGAAGAAGAAAGAAAAGACGCAAGATGCATTCGAATGGGTAACATCACCTTTAAACGATTCTTTAATAAAGATATCGTTTGAACGAGAAAATTGTTCTTGAAAGAATGAAAAGGACTCGTAACAGTAGGTGCGTGCAAGTAACTAGATTGCGCACATGTGGCGTGTGCACCCTAGCTCTTGCGCTAGTAGTGTTAGCGCAACTCAATGAGTTACGCGCGCCACCTGCTCCATGGGGATTTTTTTTGTTCGAGCAGTTTTATTTTATTTTATTTTTTATTTTTTTTATGTTACCCCTCGAATACGACTCAAAATTACGAAGGGACAACTTCGTAATTGAGAACCTAAACCAAATTAAAAGAAAGAAAAAGTTATCCTAAACACGTCACACATAGTCATGTAATCACATAAGCATACAATAAGCCAAGGTTCACATAATGCATTTCTAAGGTCATAAGCTTGGGTGTCCAAAGGTACCATATTTTATGGAATGATGCACAAATCAATCACTCAATGTGTTGACTCATAACATAGCCCTCCCAACATTTTGTTGGCAATATGGATGGGATGATTGTTATTGATTTCAGGATAGAAGCCTAGTGTTGGCAACCCCTAGTCAATCAGCCAATCCCAAAGGTTATAGTGTGCTATGATTATGCACGATGCAATGTTGCTTGTTTGGTTTTTACTTTTGTGAAAAGGGAAGATATTATTCGTTCAAGCCTCGCTTTCTAAGTAGATATTATCCAAGTTAAATCTCGTTACAACCCATAGGCAACCTAGTGTCGCCACTGTAAGATCCCATCATAGGGGATCTTTCTCCTAAAATGCCCATGGCCCTTTAAAGGCCTAGAACTTTACACTTGTTAGGGTGTATTAGGATTTGAATTCCTGACTGTTTTGGAGACCTTGAATTAGAATGGATCCTATCATCACGCTTTTTTTGTAAGAAACAAGTTGGAGTCGCCAATGAGTTTTAGGAAAATTCATAAACCTCGTTCATGCCTTTCTCCCAAGTAGAGTTCAAGGGATATTTAGCACGAATCGTAAGTTTACCAATGCCCAAATTGGTTTACATAAACCAGAAAATTGGTCTACATAAACCAGAAATGAGTTCGGGAAGAGAGGGTACTAAAATAACGTTCCTTTTTAGGGGGGAATCGTTATCTTAGCCCTAGTATGACCTCTACTATCTCTTCTTTTTTCACAATATCATCACCAAATAATATATGCAACGTGATACCTAAAACTAAGTTAGTTAATTTTATTTACACGTGTCAATCACGTAGGAATTACATTGCAAAAGTCGTTATTCTTATTTAATCAATATTCGTGAAAAGAACAAAAATAAACAAAATTCGCCTCGGCTTATGTGATCAATCAACAATTAATTATTCAATTCTATTCTTTATTTAACACAAGATACTATGTGAAATTAAATTAATTAAAAGTTTGTTTATAGTGATCAAACAACACTATTTAACTAATTAAAGTTATTTTAAGCAAGACAAATAAGGTGATTGATCTAAGTCCTCGAGAATTTACCACTTCTCTTTGCTAGATCTTCGTTTAGAACACTTATGGACTCATTCTTGTTCGGGAACCTCCACCGTAGTAACAAGTATTAAACGAGGTAAGTGTTTAGGACAAGAAGGTTTGGTAGTTCACAAAGTTTCTGCCAGAGTTTTAGGTTAATTTCTGTCTGTTTGAGCCTTGTATTCAGCAACTATTTATAAGGAATGGGAACGTTTAGGGTTTTGAACATTCTACCGCAGCAGGTGTCGCGCGCATCTAGATAGGTTGCGCGTGACATCCCAGCGCAAGTAAATAGGTTGCACTGCTATGGGCAGCGCAACTGAAAGTCTTGCGCGCAGTATTATGGTAAGATTCGATTTCATATTTTTATGAAATTTTGAATTTTTTGCAAGCGCATCACTAGCAGTTGCATTGGGTGATGCGTGCAACCTTCACTAGTACATAATTAACCTTAAGTAACACCTAAAAAGTGGTACATAAAGTGGTAAAAATGTTATTATAGACAATAGGTAACACTTTAGTGGGTGATACATCCGCCCATGTTACCTAAGGTCTTATGTAACATTTTGGGTAGTGTATGGTAACACTTTTAAAAGTGTTACTATAAACCCACTTATGTAACACTTTTTAATACTATTAGTATCATTTTTAAGGTGTTACTTTTTATTTCTTATGTAACACTTACTCATTTTTAGTAACACTTTTCAATAATAAAGTAATACTTTATCCGACATTATGTATCACTTTTGTGAATTAATGTAACACTTTGTTGATTATTAGGTAACATTTTTTAAATCATCTTTGACGTATAGTATCACTATATTCAACATTATCTATCAATTTTTGCAAACAAATGTAATACTTTATTAATTGATAGGTAACATTTTATTAATTTTTTTTTGCGCCACATATTATTATTATTATCAAAACCAACTTAGGGCACCCGTTTTGAACTAGTACCCTTTTTTGGGGTTGCACATGACAGAGGTTAAGGACACCAATTCAAGGGTCTTTAAGGGCACTAGTTTTCCCCTTAATTCGGTGCCCTTTATGCCTAAAAAAATAATAATCAATAAAAAATCCATTATATATAAACTTAGGTATTTTTATTAATAAATGCTTGTGGTGTACTGTTACAATTTCATCAAACAAAAAATATTAAATTTTTTTACAATGCTCAAGGCTAGGTAGAAGTAAAGAGCAACATAAGTAGCAGCAATGCTGAACTAGGCCATGATCATTCACAATCTCCTCAACTCCTTCCTTCGATGCTTCCCTTTTTGCAAGTACTGGCTGTTGGGATTGTTGTCACATCCTTGATCATTACAAAGTTCGTCAAATAAAATGGAAATTAAGTTAGAAGATCAGTTAAAGGGTGAAAAAGTATCACTATAATCTTAGTCAAAGTTCAGAATGACAGCAGCAATTAAGAATAAAGAAATTTCACCTTTATAACTTCAAATATTTTGTTAGTAGGTTGGAAAAAGAGTAATAGATATAGGGTTGTTATGTCCTGCCAAAAAAAAGGAAATTAAGTTTGAAGACCAATTAATTAAAGGGTGTAAAAGTATCAAACATAACACCTTCACCAAGTCATTTACTCGAATTATGAACAAATGTTATTGCTGATATAATACAGATATAAGAGACAAGATGAATTCGAATATACTCTAGCAAGATTATAATTTTTGAATTGATCAATGGATATATAACCCAAAAACTAATCCAAAAGGAAGAGACTCCAGTTCAAGAACCACGTGACAAGTATTGATCGAGATCATACTTCAAGCCACTCTTTTGCTGTTGGAGTGCTTAAATGCCATTAATGAAGAGCTTAGATAATCATTCAAGAAAGAATGTCAGAGATAGAGGTGAGTGGAGTAAGAATAATCAAGAGAATATACTAGTGTATATTCCAAGAAGAATATCTCAATAGTGGGAGGCTTCTCTAAGCATTGCCACCAGTTAAAAAACAATTGAAACCAAGCCAGACTGGGAAAGCCCATAAAACTTCAGAGTTCAGAAACCCATATGTTAACTTGAAATAATAAATTCTAGACCTAGACTCTGAACCAAGCCCGGTTAGACACAACATTGATCCAGCAGCCAACATACACCTCACAACCAACATTCAACAACCATTTATCCTAAATCAGTTTCTGTATAGAATCAATACAAGCTTACACATGCAACAATTAAATTACATAAATCATGGCTTCAAAAAAAATTATAAAATCTACAAAATCTGAATAAATATTGCTATGTTCAACAGTAGCAGGCAGGACATTTTAGATTCTAATTAATTTAACAAATCTGTTGCTAGTGCTTTCTTAGAACATTTATGCACAAGCATATGCAAATTTGATGACCAATATAACACACTCTATAGAATACATAAGTTCATAATCCATTAAATAATGCATAAATGAAATATAAAGTAGTACTAAACATAAGGTATCTTGCACAGATACATCATTGCCAAATTTACCATTGACAATATTAATAAAGCGTTAAATTCTATACTATAATCTCAAAATAATTACTACAATACACTTTGAACAAAAATGGAGCTCTTAAATAAGTGTAAAATGACTTTACCTTGTAATTAAAAGTAAGCAAATTTAGAAATAGGAGAAGCAATACAAAAGCATCTTAATGATTGGTTCTTCATTAGAAGAATAATTATCCATTAATAGGACACGAAAAGCAGCAAGCTGCTTCTTCAGTTTGTCTCATAAAACAAGCAAATGATACAAAATAGCTCCTTCTTATTCTCATCTAGTCATCTTTCCCCAAAAACAGTAGTCATAATGTCATATATATATAATCCGCCTTTTAACATTTTCGAAACCAAATTCAATCAATATTTCACAGCATCGTCACATCATTTTGTAATAGTATTATGATAATATAAAGAATGCATCACTCAAGTTCCAAATATTTAACATTCTTAAACAATTTCATCTACAACACTCAAAATTCTATAAATTAAAAAAAAAAAAAAAAAAAAAAAAAAAAAAAAAAAAAAACAGTTTCAAGCTCAATTGAGCTACGCAATGTAAGAATTCAGAGCACGAACAACATTTAATAATGAAATAATGCACACACATTACAAATCAGGTTAATTTCAAAAATGTGAATCACAGAACAATAAATCAAATACTCCAAAAATTATCAAATTTCAAACGAAATATAATTAGAACAGGAGAGGAAATCTAACCGGCAACACCAGCTCCATAATGGAAATTGAAGAGTGAGAATGAAATTTAGGGATCTGTTGAGCAAAAAATTGAAAAGAGAGGGAGGGATTTCCGGCAGTAGCAACTCCATTATACGAAGACGGCGATTTCTACGGCTCGCCGTCTTTTCTTCGCCGCCGAATTGATCCCGTTAGCCGTATCATCGGTCATTTTGCGGTTTGATGGATCGATTGAGTCGGACACTAGGGTTTGGATTTGGTCGTTCAATTCTTGTTAAGAAGTTAGAGTTTGGTGAGGAGTAAGAATCTAAAGATTGGGGTAAAATTTCAGAGAGACTTTTGAGCCTCTCCATTGATTAAGGAGATGGAAAGTGTGAATAGCATAAATGGATGGAGAAAAGAGGGAAAAGTGAAAGAGAGAAGGAAGAGAGACAGAAAGATAGAGAGCTTGGAGAAAAAGTGAAAGCAGAGTTAGGCAATTTTTTTTTTTTTTTTTTTGTATAACTGCTTTTCATACTCAAAGTGTTACATGAAAGACTCTATGTAAAGTATTACTTTGAAGTGTTACATATTACATATGTGTTACATACAAGTGCTACCTACTATCTAAGTGTTACAAAAGTGTTACTTAAATATCTATTTATATCTTGACTTATAAAGTGTTACTACAAGGTGTTACATTAGGCCAACTTTGCAGTAGTGCTTGTGAGATGCGCGCGCCAGACCAGCGCGACTCAATGAGATGCGCGCGAATTTCTCTGTGGCAGCATTGATTTTTAACCTAGGCGTCTCTAAATCCGTCATTTTTAGGTTTTAAGCTCGGGCTTAAGCCTAATGATGATCGGGCATAGTTGAACTTAATGCATTTGTTTTTGGGTTAGGCTAGTAATTTTTGTGTTTTTGTTATTCAATCGGTTACCCATAATTACCCTTAACGTCGATCCAACACGAAGATGGTTTTATTTATCGTCATAGCACTTCCTGTCGAGACAGGAGGCGAAAAGTAGATGTCTACATATACTCTTCACTGAGGACACCTTGCATGTCTTAATCTTCACCGGGGATGCGATTGCTAATGGGAAGAAACCACACATTCAGGGCATGCCGGTGTTAAGGAGGAGTTTGGAAGATAACATCGATGAGCATCCCTCACTAACCAATCACACACCTCATCATCATTGCTCTTTGCTATGAATTGCACTTGCTTGAGTTGAGCAATGTCGAGGTAGAGGGTGTTGGCATTCCCCACCAGAATACAAGAAAGGAGATATTTACCATAACCAAGGTTGGTAGCCAATCTAGTCACCATGCTACCATAAGGAATGTCTCCCGACTTCTTGCCCCTCATATCCATACAATTAATCAAAAATATGTTCCCAAAGTTCAAGCTTCCACGCAACTCTTCTCTAGTTTCCATCCAAAGAACACGCACTTCAGCTTGCGAAATCTTTCCCAATTCTTGCTTTGGGAATACCGAGTAACCCAACAACCGATGAAGCACTCGAAGGCACGGTTGGAATTTGTCTCTAGCAAGAGAACAACAGGCGGTGAACTCATCCAACCCTGAGATATTATTCCACCATGTGTTTTGGGCGTTCCCATCCAAGTAATCATGCTCGGGAAAAAGGATATCCGCCCTCGAATTGAAATCAAGGACCGCATTGAATTCGGAAAAAGACATTTGATGCTCCACATTGAACAGTTGGAAGGAAATTTGGTAGTCCTTGTCACCAACCAGAGTAGTAGTAAAAGAAGCCAAGAACTCCCTAGTCGGCTCAAGGTAGGTTTGGTAGCGTTTGTTGACGAATCTACCTAACCTAAGGTTATCAAATAAGACCCACAAGTCCTCAACGATTCCCAATTTAATCATACGCAATCGATGATAGTGTCGTGAGGGCTTTATGGTTCTTTTCTTGAATTTATTCCAATGCGGTTTATGGCTTGGGTTGGTGAATCGTGTTTTGGGTAGTGGTAGAGGGTATTCATTTTGTGTTTGGGAAGTAGGTGTGTTTGATGGTGAGGGTTCTTCAATTGTTATTTTTGTTTTTCTCTTTCTAGAAACGAGGGCTTTCATGATTGTAGACATTTTTGCTTCACAAATTTCACAACAAAATTCAATCACAACTCCACAATCCACCACAATCACAATAGAAGCGCAACACTACCACAATATCCTTGGTTCAACCAACCAAAACTCCAATCACCGCTTACTACCAACAATGCCAAATTTCAACCTTCTACAAATATCCCCAAATTTCACAATTAAGCTACACACTCAACAACAACACAATGTAATACAGTATTAATCAACAACAACTCATATAATCAACCAAATAACTCAATCAATCATCAAATTCAACCAAAATAATACTTGTTTTGGGTGTTTTTGTCCCTCTGGAGAGTTACAACACGAAGACTGATCCGAGGCGAGCTGTACCTGCAAAACAAACGGAGACACCGGTTGGGTGGTGCTCCGCCTCCGACGCACAAGTTAGAAACTTGAAGGGAGAAAAAGGTGCGGAAATTTAGGTAGGGATCTGCTCGGATTCCAAGCTCAGGATGTCTCTATCAAAGAGTAAATGTGTAATAAATGATCAAAAAACCGTCCTCAAAAAGAGGGACATCTCCCTATTTATAGGTCTTTGGGATTTGTGCCCCTGATTAGGTCACTGTACCCTAATCAGTGGTGGGCTGCGCCACTTTGCGGCTTTCTCGGGATTTGGGCCTGAAGGCCGCCTTTTTTCCCTTATTTTCTGGAGTGACACGTGTCAAGCAGAGATTGGTCCACTTTGGGCCATCCTGAGGCTGACACGTGTCATCCTCTGATTGGACCACGTGGCGGGGTAAAATTACCCTAAACATTTGCCCCTCACAGATGTGACGTGGCACGCCACTGGCATGTGTGACATGTATCACGCTCCGATTGGCGGTAATTTTTACCATTAAAGAGTAATTGTTCACCTTCCGGGTAAATTACGGAGATGCCCCCGTATTTACCCTCTATATGTAGCCGTTTACCCTCATAAATTTTGGTACGTTTACAAAAAATTTTCTAGAGAGAACTTTGAGAGAGCAGAAGTCATCCGTTTGAGTCAAGCACAAGCAAGAAAGCTCGTCCTCCAGAGACCCAGCCGGACCCGCCTAGTTTCAGATATCTCTTCAAAAGGTACCGTCTCTGCCTCTCTCAGCTCTTTTTCTTTTTTCACCGCTTGTACATATTTCTTGCAATAAATGGATGCATCACCAACACACACGGAACGACCTAGGTTAGAGTCCAGCCGGTCACCAGGGACGGCTGAGTCTAGGACTAGGAGTGCCGTCTCGGGGTGTTGGGACCACCCTTTGCCTCGGATTCCGACAAGTTACGTGTCTGTGCAGGACACAATGGCTCGGATAATGCAGACGACGACTGATCCAAATTACAAGAGCGAAGGCTCAGGCGGCCAAACGCCTGAGGGAGAAACGTCTGGTCAGGGTGACTAGACGGCTCTGGAGAGATCCCCTCCGCGCGCCCCTTCAACCCTTGCTGGCTCTTTTTTGGAAGAGTGCGACCAAGGCGGCGACGAGGCCGTCTCTGCCCCCTTGGGTCAAAGTGAGGAAGAGACGGAGAGCGACAGCACCGCCTCTACCTCCGAGAGCAGTGACGATTTACCCCCGCTTTCGGATAGCGAGGAGGAAGAAAGGAAAAAGTGGAACGAGAAGGATGATCCCTTCAACATCCACGTCTCCTCCAAGGACCGGATCCAAATGGAGGAGAACTTGAAGAATTTCACTAAAATGCACCCGCTTGGAGACGGGTATAAGATCCGGGTGCCGCCTGAGAATGGCACCGTCGCCTGGGAGGACGATCAGGAGAACGCCAACAGCTATTTCGGCTGTTATGAGGCGGCGTTCAAGGCTGGTCTCCGCTTTCCCCTTCACCAGGCGGTGAAGGCAATTTTGAGAGGCTACGGCCTCGGAGTCTGGCAACTTACCCCTAACTCTTGGACAAACATTCTGGGGTATGTTGTCGCCTGCGAGTTTCAAGGGCTTAACCCCGGCTCGGAGGCTTTTGCTAGCATGCATTATCTTAGTAGAAGCCCAGGCAACTGGAGGGCGTGGTACACTCTACCCACGCAGCCCCAATATATGATGACCTTGGACAAGGTCTCGAAATTCGACGGCTGGAAGCACAGGTTCTTCCTGATGTCAGCTCCAACCAAACGGGAGAATTATGAATTCCGTCTGTACAATAAGAAGCCCGAATTGTTGGGCCGGAAGTGTGCTCTTCCGCGGGTTCCAAAGGAAGACTTTGACAAGATCATTGAGGCAGACTTTTTTGGCCTCACAGACGCGACCTTGTCAACCGGGGAGACAATAAAGGTCCCCAAGAACTGGATCCCCAAGAGCGCTGGTTCAGGGACGAGTGCTTCCTAGCCGCCTGCGGGCTAGGGCACATGTTTTCCAAACGTATGCGCCTGAGTTTATATCCGTCTGTAGTATTTTTCTATCGAAATTGTTTTATGGTATTGACCAACTTCCTTCTTTTTGCAGAGGAAGCATTAAACATGTTGCAGACGGAGAAAACCCCAAAGCGATCCTCTGCTGTCATCCGCAAGGCGCTTGCGGAAAAGGCTGCGGCTGAGGTCAAAGCCAAGGTAACAAACGCCTGACCCTTTCATAAGTTGATCTTTTAAAATCATTTTTCCCGGATGCTAACCTTAACTTTGGTTATTTTTGCAAGGAGGAGAGGTTGGAAATTTGTTTGAGAAACAACTCAAACGGGCTAGGGAGGAGACCCCTGCCGTTCTGAACAAAATCAAAAAATCCACCTCTGCGTCAACTCCTAGCGCCTCAGCCGGTCATCAGCAGATGCGGATAGCGGGGCGTAACGAGAAGGTAGGCGACATGGCCTTAGCCTCGTTAACCCCGTAACAGCGACCGGGGGGTTCTCCACGCCTGCAAGCGGTTCCTACTTGGCTGGCTCTGAAGGTAAGAACCCTTTTGAATCCCCGCTTGAGCTGGGGTGGCCTTTGCGGGTGAAATCCCACTCTCAACAGACGTCATCTTCAGACGGCCAGCAACAAATAGGTGCTGCCTTAGTTTCGCACTTATCACGTATTGATTGTGGTGCAGATCAATCTCCCCGCTGGCCAGACGTCCAGAAGCACGCCAAGGCCATGCTGGAAGCCGTCCGAAAGAGGGATAAAGACAGTATCCCTGGGATAGAGATGTTCAATCTTGAACGCATTCTATCCCTTCTGGCTGAGGTAAGAAACTTGTCAATTAAATTTTATTTTTTCCAAGTGTTTTATCCCGCCTGCGATACTCACGCCGCTTGCTTTTCTGCAGGCTATGCTGCGGGTGGACGGGCTCAAACGTCCTTATTCCCGCAAACGTGAAGAGGTAAAAAGGGCCAAGAAGTCCGCA